TTCAGGCCAAGGGGGTTGTGCTTGTGTGTATTTCACAAATGTTCTTGTTAGGCATTCCTTCAGTATGTCGATGTTGGTATTAACATTCCCATTGCATTAACGTAATGATGCAGCATTGAGTTTCATTTAAAAGAGAAGCGTCTTCCTTCAGACAGTTAGAATCTGGTGACATGCATTTCAGACATCAATTTATGGTCTTATACGTTATGTCACCTTATGTAACCTGAAACGATTTTGTCCACAGTGAACAGTGAATGTCAGTGGGGTCCAATATTGTTCAAATTCTGTTCCACAGAAGAAAGAAATGTATACCGATTTGGAACGACATGTGATTGTGTAAATAAGGACAACATTTTCATTTTTAGGTTAACAATTCCTTTAATATAATGTGTTGCCTCATGTTACCCTGTTGTGCATGGGTTGAGCATATATGTATTTTATAAATAGATGAATATGTTAAGTATCTGTCAAATAGCTTAATCAGAATGGTACTAAATTAAATTTTATTTTTGGTCCATCATAAAACAATAATAGATATCATGTAGCTTCTGTATGGGCTATGTAAACTTAGGAGCAAAAATGTATCTGAATACTGTTCATCTCATTGCTACTGTCTAATGTGCAACAGGTATGCAGTTGTGTAACATTTGTTTCTTCAGATAAAATCATTGATGTGTTAAACTCACAGCTGCTGCTTACAGTCTGACTACACAACCAGCAGAAAGTGTGATGGACACTGCATACAATATGTGCTTATTTATACAGTGTTACACAGACTTGTCATTCTCTTTTTTTAAGTGAATCTGCAAAAATAAATAAATGACTAAGATGGAAATTATATTTTGATATATCTTGATAAATTGGCCAAACACATTTTTTTCTCCCATTACAATTAGTATAACTTGCAACTTGGTCCTAATTTGTATGCAAAATATTTTCTTCTTCTTTTGATTATGGGATTAAATATAATATGTTTTTGGCATTTTTTTGTAAGATTCACTTAAGGCAGAGAATATCCTGAATGTCAAATGCTTCTAAAATGTTGGATTTGTTTAAATGAGCTTTTACATGTGAATCTAAAATGACAATGTGCTTTTATTGTGTGAGTTGTGAATTTATCTTGATGGATGACATTCACAACACAGACACGTGAATAAGTGTGCATGATTTTTTTTTTGGTGTGTAACATGCAAGTGTTGTTGTGATTGTCATGCTCTCCAGTAGTTGACATAAATGACACCTGTGACAATAGTTTTCTCCACACATTTTAAAGGCAAGCAAGATACATTCAGTACAGGGCTTGTTTCTTGTTCGTTTGTTGTTGTTTTGTTTTTTTTGTTTCTTGTTGCATGACAGTAAATTTAACATATTCAGGCAAAATTACCATATGAGGGAGTGCACTAAATGTATATATACATTAGTTCAGGTTAACTAATGATAGTTAAGTCTTGCTAATGATTATGTTGATTAAAAAAGATCAATCATTCCGATGCCTTTCCAACTTGCCAACTCAGGTACAATACTAACATAAATCATTGAGCATTATAAATACGAAGAGACATTAGAACCAACCAATTAGAACTGATCTCAGATCTGTCAGTGCTCATTATTCTCTCCAACCCTAGCTCTGTTTAATAGAGTGCAGTCTTGTTTTTTTTGGGGGAAAGCAAAAGCATTCCAATAAAAATGTTCAGCAGCATAAAAATAAAGAATCAGATTCTAATTGTAATAAAAACAGTGCTAGCTCTGCTGACCTAGGTCTGGTTTCTCCAGTGCAACTCATATTACACAGATCTCAGGTTAATATAAAAGGTTTAATTCTGTCTGTGCCTGTTTATTGTGCTGAACTGAATCTTTTTGTCTTCTTGTTTCGGTAGAGTTAAAAGAATAGTTCACCAAAATGAAAATTAGCTTGAAGTTTACTCATTCTCATTAGTTTATTGTTATTGGCTCAATGATGATTGCTGGTTTGTTTCTTACAAACACGCAGCTTTTGTCTTCTCCAGATGTTAACTGATGGACTGGAGTGCTGTGGATTATTGTGATATTTTTATCAGCTGTTTGGACTCTCATTCTGACGGCACCCATTCACTGCAGAGCATCCATTACTGAGACACTGATGTTACATGTAATGTAAAATTACTCCAAATCTGTTTTGATGAAGAAACAATCATCTTAGAAGGCTTGAAGGTGAGTACATTTTCAGCAACTTTTCATTTTTGGGTGAACTATTCCTTTAAAGCTTGATCAATAGCATGCTGTCATTTACTGCAGAAAACAATTGAGCTTTTGATTTAGTTTGTAAAAACAAAAATTGAGTTTACAGTAATGCACTTGCAATAGCGGGAGTCTACGGGGCAAGACATTGTACTGTTATAAATGTTAAAATACATACAATTTCAAAAGTGTAACCTCAAGACTAGACACAAAGCTAATGTGAGAATATCAGTTACTAACCTTCTCTGTGCACAGCATATAGCTTCACATTTCAGCTTTAACCCTCACTGTGGTGCACTTACCCGAAGAAGTTCATTGTAAATGCATTGCTGTAAACAACATTTGTTTTTTTATACACTGAGGGGCAAGTCCAGATGATTTTCTGTGGTAACCGACAGCATGCCATGCGATGCATTTTGGGTTATGGAACAGGTGGAGTTATGAACCACATTCTGAGGCACTGCACACTGTGATGTTCAACAATGTCTGATGGGAAACTGACAGTAGTTATTTAATCCAGCCAACCGGTGTCTTTCGATCTGAAATCATGGAATGACACAAACACGTTTTAAAAGTGAAGCGCTTCGCTTTTCATTGTCACTGACGCAGCTTGTATTTGTCAAACACACAAAGCAATACTAACACAGTTCTCTGGTCATGTTAACCTATGACCTTCATGACTATTTGTGAAATATGATCTTTAAAGTATGCCTCTGTCCACTTAGTGCAAAGAATGCTGACCGCTGAAGCCAAGCCCCACGCGTATATGATGCCTTGCAAAAGTATTCAGACCAGCATCCAATTCGTAAATTATAATGAACTACAAATCCTGCATATAAAGAAATGAAGTGTGTATCTTGCGGAAAACAGATTTTCAAAAATAATGAATTTTCAAACACCTGCCAATATCCACGCAAGCAGCCCCTGTTATATCAGGCCCAGACAGACTTCTCAAACAGACTGCACTTCCATTTGGTGCTGATACTGGTGCAGAAGTTCTTTCATTTTTTTCTAAATACACTAATTTAATACAGGATATATAGATGTAAGAATAAGAATATAATCTTAGAAATTATATATTATATGTGAGCCTGGAGCACAAAAGCAGGGGTATATTTGTAGCAATAGCCAAAAATACATTGCATCGCTCAAAATTATCGATCATTAAATCATTGGGATATTAATTAAAGATCATGTTCCATGAAGATATTTCGTAAATTTCCTACCGTAAATATATTAAAACGTAATGTTTGATTAGTAATATGGATTGCTAAGAACTTCATGTGAACAACTTTAAAGATGATTTTCTCAATATTTAGATTTTTTTGCACCCTCAGATTCCAGATTTTCAAATAGTTGTATCTCGACCAAATATTATCCTATCCTAACAAACCATACATCAATGGAAAGCTTATGTATTCAGCTTTCAGATGATGCATACATCTCAATTTAAAAAAAAATTACCCTTAAGACTGGTTTTGTGGTCCACGGTCACGTATAGGATATTAATTAAAGGTCATGTTCCATGAAGATATTTCGTAAATTTCCTACCGTAAATATATTAAAACGTAATGTTTGATTAGTAATATGGATTGCTAAGAACTTCATGTGAACAACTTTAAAGATGATTTTCTCAATATTTAGATTTTTTTGCACCCTCAGATTCCAGATTTTCAAATAGTTGTATCTCGACCAAATATTATCCTATCCTAACAAACCATACATCAATGGAAAGCTTATGTATTCAGCTTTCAGATGATGCATACATCTCAATTTAAAAAAAAATTACCCTTAAGACTGGTTTTGTGGTCCACGGTCACGTATTATATTATATTAAGAAAGCATTCTTATAATTAATTTTACACAAATGAAAAATATTTACCCTACTTATAACGCAACTGTCTATGGGAGCTTATTTCTGAAAAAAAAAAGTCAGAACTGCAAGAAGAAAAGTCTGAATTGTGCATGAAAAAATTTGAGATTAAATTATGAGATAATTATAGAATCTGTTAAGCATCGTGCTATGCAGTTGCTAGGATTTCTGGTTGTTTGCTACAGGGTTTTAAATACTGCTCCAAGTCAAAGAGCTCATCAGCAAGTGATATTCTGATGCAGTCTGCTAAAAACTCCTGAAGCCTGAGAGAAAGCTCATTCAGCGGGACATTCAGCACTAGCTGAAGAACAGAGAGCCGAATGTGCTGGAATGGCACAGTTATAGCACTGACGTCACAATCTGTGGCACTATTGGAACATTGTAATGCAGAAGGAACATCTGACTAATCTCAAACAACCTGGAGCAAATCTGCCTGGAAAAAAACAGGCCAAAATGACATCTGGACAGTGCGCTCATGCATTCATACTCCAATAGTATTCATAGTCTCAAAGCTGCAAGGGATGGCTCTACAAGATTTAAAATTTGGGACTAAATGCATATATTACATTTCATACATGCATGTTTCATTTTGATCTATTTATTTATTTTGACTTCGTAATGTTTAATCATCTTCCAGTGAAAATGATCTAATTCTCTCCAGTCACGTGTGTGGACATTTAATATTTGACAACCGTTTTGCAACAGAAATGTTTATGATCAACAGCAATATAGAGTGACGCAAGCTACTCAACGTTTTATCAAATTTTGCTGATTTGAAAATCTTTAATTTATGTGGTTCACGTAATTCATAATCACGTGTGACGAGACCAGAACTATTTTGCATTTTCAACATATTAGGCATATGAATAAGATTAAATGTGTGCATAATTTAAAATAAAAAAAAATATTTTCAAACTAAAAATAATGTTCTTCTTTCTTTTCCCATCTCGCTCACAGTCTGAGGCGTCATCTGAGACAGCACCTGGAGAGAATATGAAAATCATCTTTTTGTGAAACGTGTTCAGCAAGGATTCATTACATTGATCAAAAAAGACAGTAAAGACTTTTAGAACATTACAAAATCTTTCCATTTCAAATAAATTCTGTTCTTTTAGACTTTCTGTTCATCAAAGATTTGTTTCCACAAAAAAATGAAGCAGCACAACATTGATAATAATAAGAAATGTTGCTTGTTTGAGCATCAGATCAGAATAGTAGAACCCTTGTGAAAAAGCACACTTTAGCAAACTTTTAAAGCGAAAAATGATATACTTTAAAGAAAACACATATTATGTGCAAACTGTTTTTAGACACTTAACTGCATGTTATTTGCAATGAGAATGTTTTATAGTTTAAATTGATATTAAATGCATTTAGTTGAACTTGTTGAAGAGTGCTTTTCTCACCCACTGAAGTAGGACTAAAGTACATCTTTATATGTCATTTCATAGTTACTTCTGTTGTCTTTGAAATATGGTTAAAGTCACTGCTGAATGTACAGATTTGTGGCAAACTAAAATATCCTTTAATGTCATTTCTATTGAAACATGTATGTCATGTTTTCAAATATATTTGTAGTTGCACATTTGAAATGATGAAGTAGCAGTTTAGTACATTTCAAATATATTAACTTTAAATGTAATATCAAATAACACACTAGAGTTGAAATTATAATTAAGTACTTTAAATGTACTTTAGTATGTAATTCAACACATCAAAATAAGTGTACTTCTTTAAAGACTTTTAATTGGACAAAACTGCACTATTTTTTAAAAGTTAATTTTTTTCAAACAGTCTTGAAAGTTTATTCTCTTTAGGTACACTTAAGTGGTCTTTTATTGCATTGATATTATAATGTCTGCAATCACAGTTTTTAAACAAAATATACATTTAAGATTTGATGTACACTAAAAGTGCACATTTAATATCTATGATTAAGCACTTCTTTTTCACAAGGGAATGATTTCTTAAGGATCTCGTTCAAATTCAGCTTTGCATCACAGGAATAAATTACATCTGAAACTATATTTTAATAGAAAGCAGTTATTTTAAATTGTAATAATATTGCACAATGTTACATGTTTTACTGTGTTTTTGATCAAATAAATGCAGCTTTGGTGTGCAGAAGAGAATTCTTTCAAATACACGAAAACAAATCCAGCCCTAATGGTAGAGAGTGTGTGTGTCTGTGTCTGTGTCTGTGTCTGTGTCCGTGTCCGTGTCCGTGTCCGTGTCCGTGTGTCTGTGTCCGTGTCTCTGTGTGTCCGTGTGTGTGTGTGTGTGTGTGTGTGTGTGTGTGTGTCTGTGTGTCTCTGTGTGTCTCTGTGTGTGTGTGTCTGTGTGTCTGTGTCTGTGTCCGTGTCTGTGTGTGTCTCTGTGTGTGTGTGTGTGTGTGTGTGTGTGTCTGTGTGTTGTGTGTGTGTGTATGTCTGTGTCTGTGTCTGTGTCTGTGTCTTGTTTCTTGTGTCTCTGTGTGTGTGTGTGTGTGTCTGTGTCTGTGTCTTGTTTCTTGTGTCTTGTGTCTGTGTCTGTGTCCGTGTCTGTATGTGTGTGTCTCTGTGTGTGTGTGTGTGTGTGTGTGTGTCTGTGTCTGTGTCTTGTTTCTTGTGTCTGTGTCTGTGTCCGTGTCTGTATGTGTGTGTCTCTGTGTGTCTGTGTGCGTGTCTGTGTGCGTGTCTGTGTGCCTTGGCGGGTG